TTGGCCATTAGAATAGCAGAGAGAGGAACCTGGGTCCATGTTACCCACTCCAAGAAGGTAAGACCACATACAAGCACCGCTTAGCACACGCAGAGTTGACGAGCAGAACTGGGCCACAGGGTCTGGGGGTCACCTCTGTCAACGAAGATCTCCTACCCAGACCTATCATCACTGTAGTGTGTTCCTAGGGTGTGAGTATGGGGTGGTACCGAGCAGAAGGACTCAAGACAGGAGAGGGTTGGCGGTTTTTGGGAATATGAGTGACCCTGAGCTGCATCATAGTCTCGACAATAGTCGTGGTAGGTCAAGATCCACCACCACCTCGCACCAATTACGCTATGGCCTTACCATTATTAAGAAATAAAAGGGAAGCGACCCGACATACTGACCGTCAAGGGCGAGTGATCTACAAAATAGGAGTCAGAGAAGGGTGGGGAGTAAGATTCAAAATTAGGATTAGGGATCTTATCAGAGCGGATAAGCAAGCAACATGGGATTATAAAATCCCGTTGTATTTATGTTCAGCTCCCTCGGCAGATTGTTCCTGGGCTCAGGTATTTAGACATACTGGGGGACGGAGATATGAGACGGGGGGGGGGGCTGGACGTCCAGATGGAGGATAAGAAGGTATAACGACATCCCCACGGAAATGGTAGTAACGATAGTAAAAGTCACTAAAGAGGACATGAAAGGAACTTACTGGGCTTGCGCGGACAAATACGGATGGGATACTTGTCTAAGATTACATTTGATGGAGTCAAAAGATATGGAAAGCACAGGTACTGTCATTAATCCACTAACAGCAATAGACCGAGTAGATCAGTCAAGGGATGACGGAGTCAATTCGACTAACCCGTCCACTATGAAAGATTTTCTCCTCCAAGAATGGAACAATGGGGAAGTGGAGGGGGTCCCTGATGAGAATCTCTGGTTAAAGTGGATGAAATACACCGCTAAGGCCTTGGGGGAGACCAATTGTTATGCATGCTCCATTGGGCGACCGACAATGTTGACCGCCCCAATGCCAAAGGCAATGTTTCCCTGTGTATTAGACCTGGGGTCCAATCAAAAAGAGCCAAATTGCACAGGGATTGGGCTGGCAAAATTGACATACTGGGCCAGCCCACCTAGATTCACTTTAACTCCTGGCGAATAACAGTGTTACAGACATAGAAATGGCACCCGTAACTTGGGTGATTTTGATGGCTGTAAGGAAGGGAGGAAAAAAATTAGGAGACTAACCATCCCTCTGACTGATGTGTGGTGGGCATGCACTAACAAAGGGAGCATTCGGCAGACATTACCAGAGGGATGGGTGGGTACTTGTGCACCAGTATTGTTGGTCCAACCTGTAAGAATTGGTCATCAAAGACCAGTGACAGGAAGAATAATTAGGAGAAAAAGAAATAAGTCAGGAAGGAAATAGCCCAATTTGGATAGATGGTATAGGCATCCCCAGGGGTGTTCCAGACGAATACAAAGCTATGAATCAAATATGGGAGAGTTTTACTACAACATTTTTCTGGTGGGTGACAATAAACAAAAAAATGGATTGGATAAATTATATCTATTACAACCAACAACGATTTATTGACCAGACTAGAGATGCAGTAAAGGGGATCTCTGAGCGATTATCCGCCATCCCGCTCATAACTTAGTAGAGGTTGGTTCTAGATCAGGCAGAAAGGGCCGGTGTCTATAGAAAGATAAGCCATTGTTGCACATTTATCCCTAACAACACCACACTGGATGGGACAGTCACCAGAGCTCTTACAGAATTAACTGCACTAAGTGAAGGATGAACTGAACTCAGAAGTTAGTACATTGTGGATAGGGTGGTTTGATGAAATATTTGGTAAATGGAAAACCCTAGCAGCCACCATCTTAGGAGCGATCAGTGTTTGTATGGGTATTCTTGTATTATGTGGTTGTTGTCTTGTTCCCTGTGTCCGAGGATTGGTGAGTCAGGCGTTGGTGAAATGCAGTATCTAAACAATGATGAGAGATGGACTGACTCCGGACTCTGACCAGGGGATGTGAAAAACGATCCTCCAGGCTTGGTGGATGACGAGGATTTGGACCCTGAAAGACCGCAATTGGATGAAATGTTTATTAGTTCTGATGTGATCTCTGAGATTAATCATGCTTGTAAAATACATTTATCCTGAATGTGGGAATATTTAGTCAAAGGGGTGGATTGTTAGATTAATTTGGATTTTAAGAATAATGACTAAAGGATTTCACCCCAAATACAGTATAAATGTTAGAATTATCATGTAGTGTCAACCCACTAACAGAGGGGGCGGTACTAACCATTCAAGGGGGAAGGCGGAAACTGTTTAGAAAAGTCACCTAAAGGTGGGAGGAGTCAAGTCCAGGAGTATAAAATCGTCTGTTTGGTTCCTTGGCGGAAGAGCTCTCCATGAATAAACATACAGAAAATCCTTGTTGGTTGTGGATCTTGAATCATTGATGATTAAAACCAGAGCCTTACAACCTCTGGTAATGATTCAAGCTTAGGGTGAATTAGAGATAGAAATTCACATGACACATCCCCAGTACACTGCCAAGTGGGACGGGTCCCCCTAGTCAGTCCCCTCCCTGCCCTGGAACGTCCTTCATAGGAGGTTGTTCCCAGCCGACTTTCCATCGCGGATCGCCTAGGCCAGTCACTTCCAGCTCAACCACGTGCTGGACCTGCCGTGCCTCGGCTTCTCCACAGGACCCACCTCTCCCTGGACTCGGAATTAACAACATATCATGAGTATTATTGAAGGGTGTGATATTTGAGACACATTGCTGGTGGCGATTACTGATGGCATTAATACTGTATATTAATATAATATTGAATCAGCTGTGTAGTGCCAGGGCAAAAATCAAAACGTGCACCCTTTGGGGTCCCGAGGACCTAGTTTGGGAAACGCTGCTGTAGATTCTTTGTTCAATAGAATTGCCATAAAGCTTATGTAAGGCAGTACAAGGACTTCCAGAGCTAGCAAAGGGTACAAATAGGTTGTCTATGAATATGTATGTTGTTGAATACAGGAGACATAAGGACCGCCCTCTAACGTTTCACTCTGGGCTCCCTAAAGACAATGTTCCAGTATCTCTCTACGCCACACACTGTTATCCCTATGAAGCCATGTGGTGCATTGTTGTGTCATTGTAAGGTACTGTGATAACTCGTTCCCCCCAAGTCACACAGGCTATGCATGAGTGGAACTACAGCTCCGAGTTCACCAGTCTCCAGTCACTTTTCGGAGCTCCTCAGTCTCCTGTGTGAGGGTAAGGGAGGGTTGCAGGGGTGGTGACGAGGAGAAGGGAGGGGTGACAGAGAGGTGAGATCGCAGTGACCTGGGTCACCTGTCACAAACAGAGGCCTGGTCTCTTGATGACACTCCCTCAGGGTCTAGACTGGGTCTCCAGGTGAGAGCTTGCCAAAGGAAGGTAGGGGGTGGAGGGTTGAGCTGTGGTTGTCCTCTTACTTTGGTGTCATAACACACACACACACTGTTCCCGAGCACTTCACACCCGAGTACTCATTCAAAAATCATGTTAAATACTATTATTGCACACAGAGTGAGTCCATGCAATTTATGTGATTTGTTATGCCCATTTTTACTCCTCAACTTATTGAGGCTTGCCATAACAAAGGGGTTGAATACTTATTGACTCAAGACATTTCAGCTTTTCATTTTTTATTAATTTGTAAAATGTCTCAAAACACAATTCCACTTTGACATTATGGGATATTGTGTGTAGACCAGTGACACCAAACCTCTATTTAATCCATTTTAAATTCAAGCTGCAACACAACAAAATGTGGAAAAAGTCAAGGGGTGTGAATACTTTCTGAAGGCACTGTACCTGCCTCACAGCTAATCAGATTAAGTCTTATACCATGTATCCTCCATACAACCAATCATGTGAGTCTCACACCATGTAACTGCCTCTTTAATAAAATCACTTTAGCAGTTCCTCTCTCCAAACACTCCCAGATTCAGCCATAACATAAATCATTGCACAAGTATTTGTAGGAATGTTTGTTTGTTCAGTTTTTTTTTTTTTTATCAATTGATATACAAAAAAAAAATCACTTCTCATATTATTTAAGCTTTTTTTCTTATTTTAAACAGTTCAAGAGAATAAGTAGTCATTGATGATTGGGGAACATTAAAGAAACAACAAAAAAAGTAATTCCTATGCGTCCACGTACAAACATTGTCTTATAGGCGACCACATTCTAGTAGGGAGTTACCAGCTCATCACGCAACACAAGGGTCTGCGTCCCAAATGGTACCCTCTTCCATTCATAGGGCACTACTTTTGACCAGGGCCCATGGGATTCAGGTCAAAAGTAGTGCACTATGTAGGGAATAGGGTGCCATTTGAGACACAAAAAAGAGATCCTGTCTGGCCTCGTTTTACGCCAACCTTGTTCTCTCTCCCCCTTCCAACCTGCACTCAGCTGTTCTTCATTAGGCACCAAACAGAAGAAAACTAAAACAGAGAAGGGACAACATGAACTTGTCCAATAAGAAACGCTTGCTTTCGTTTTCCATTGCAAAACGTTTTGCACTCATGAATATGGCCCAGACGACTCATACCAACAGTTTCATTAACAAACCTTTATAAAACAGAACAGAAGAGTGTTGCAGTAGAGCCTGGAGGCTTTTACTGTATCTGGAGAACAGCAGCCAGAGAGAGGCTGTCAGTTGTTTGTTGGCAGTCGTCATCACAGACAGACATGGATACCCTATTCCCTATATAGTGCACTATATAGGGAATAGGGTGCCATTTTGGACGCAGACACCAAGAAAGAGAGTTAAAGAGACGTACAAGTCCTGTAAACGCACTGCTGCTAGTCCGTAGTAATAGTGGGAGCTCTCATCTGCTCTTCTACGATGTACTCTCCTTCGTCCTCCTCATTTTCCACCCTCCACCTCAGCCACCTCTCCTTTAGTCCCTTCCCAAATCTACCATCGTACCCCCCCAAACCCCCCAGGTAGAGCATCAGTACATCTTCTGTCGACTAGGCAACACCGCCTCCTTGAGGAAAGAGAAGATGAGCAGGATGCCGGACCTCTTGCCCCTCTTGCCCTTGGTGAAGTAATTTGAGACCACGTCATCTAGAGGGTGAGAAAAAGAAAAAAGGAACTGACCAATTCAGTTTGTGAAAATGACAATATTTTATAACAGTGTTTTTCCAATCCTGGCACACCTGAATCAACTAATCAAGGGCTTGGTGATTTGGTTGAATCAGGTGTGTTGGTGCTAGTCTGGGTACCAGTCTTTTTAGCTAGCATTCCACTACTTGCCACTCCTGTCATTTGCCAAAGAGACTGGCCTTTCGGCAATCTCAACGTTCAATATGCAGCTGGATTTAAGGTGCAGTTGCTGATTTGTAGTTGGAAACAACATTCATATTTTCCATGACAACGTTATGGAACATGAGATGCGCGCAAATTTGGCGCAATATAGAGTTAGAACGTTAAGAACAACAATTACAATTTCAGTTACGACATGCTTGTGAGAAGGCAGTGTCAATGCAAGATCATGTTGTTCAAAGCGGCTAGAGAGGACTCCATAATGAGAGAGAGTAATGATGATACAGAACATATTAGCCTACAAGATTCAATTGAGCTATATTTTGCTTCAGTTGCATCCCATTAAATGAGAGGAATGAAATGCAAAACTGGCACCTGCTGTCATTCCTCGCACATATGCTGATCATCATGACTTGCTTACATTTTTAAAATTTTGTTATGCTCATTTCAGTCCTATTATTTGTCCCTCCTCTCTTAAGAGATGGAGTCCGGACAGGCTACTCTAGGAAACTTTCTGAATGGACATAGGCCTAGAGAGAATTAGCGAGCTCGCACACACACCATAAAAGGAACCATCAAAGCCACCAGCCCATCTCAGACGCAAACAAATCACATTTCTCCTTTCCTAAAAACCTATTCAAAATCTAGGCTCAGCTTCAAATCTTGGCTGTAGTCCATCAGAAAGTAGGCCTTTATTAATTTTTTTCATTCAATTGAGTCCAAGGCGGTTGGAAGCCTGGTGGTTTTTAATTCTAGGTGTGAAGATATTTCAACATCATGTCTAGATGACAAAAGGCTTGCGTGGTTGCCAAATGTATACGTGTCCCCATAGGCCTAATCTAAAAATGGAGGAAATGTGATCATTATCATTATTTTAGCTATCCACAGTAGTCTTCCCTCCTAATGAAAAGGCCCTCCATCCTGCTGATGTAAGCTGCTGGACAGCGTACTTGCACTTGATATGCGTTTACGGATGAGAAAGTGAACTTGCCATTTCCAAAAAGGAGATCAGTGGGGAATTGGGGATTCCCTGCTTTGCCATCGGTTGCCTACGTAAACAGCAAGGGTTTCGTTAAATAGGCCTAGGCACTATAAAGGGTTCAATACGACCAAATTTGTGACCGTTTGACTTGGCAGTGCGACACACTTTTTTTAAATTGTTCAAAAGTGTGCCAGTGAATTTGCTTAATTTGTTTTATTATCATGATTTATTCAAACAGTAATGTGCAATTGACCAAAAACAAACCAACTGTCTAAAGAGGCAACAACGACACGGGAATGCCCTTCTGTGTGTGTCAGGGCTCGACATACAGGGCTGCCCGGTTTTGGAAACCCTCCGGGCCAGTCGATCATCCCCATCAGTGGCCCGCTTGCGCCAGTGAAAATAATATTGTAATAATGCTATTTTTAAATCTAGGCTATACAATATATTTTTTTTTTTACTGATTGATTCCCGAAGCCGTTAGTTCGTTATGTCGATTATTTATCACGTGCGCGCTGCACACATACAGTGCCTTCAGAAAGTATACATACCGCTTGACTTATTCCACATTCTGTCGTGTTACAGCCTGAATTCAAAATGGATTTCATAGATTTTACCCCTCACAGATTTACACACAATACCATAAATAAAGTAAAAACATGTTTTTTAACATTTCTGCCCACATAGAATGTAAAAATAAATGTCAATTCAGAATTCCATTGGGTAGGCCTATTAAAAAAAAAAAGTGGTAATGCATACTTTTTGCATACCTTTTATTTTGTTTTATTTTATTTAGGCTATTACAACAATTAAATATAAAAATGTAGATCCTTGAAAATTACAATTAGGTGCTTGAAAAAGTCCTTTAAATTTGACTTGCCAATGTCTATATCAACCCTGTATAGGCTACTTGCTCAGCCCGCAAATGAAAGATAAAATCACCTGCCACTGAAATGATGAACGCATCATTCGCTTTCCTGTCAGATCTTGACCCTGCCAGTATTTTCTTTAATTCAGGCCTGTAGCTTTCAGTTGGCACTAGCCCGTTGTGCCACTGGCAAATGTATCTGAATGAGGAGCCCTGCTGTGTGCGGTGGGAGTAGGGCCTGTGTGTCTACCACTTTGTGTAGCCGTTAGCGATGCTAATGAAAATCATCTGCTACTGTTCTTGACTATTAATTTTCTGAATGATGTCATGTTTCATGTTTTGTGTGGACCCCAGGAAGAGTAGTATCTTTTTTTTTTTATTCTGCCCTCTAGAGGAGTTTGCAGAAAAGAACAAAAGGCACTTTGAAGTCTGCAATAAATACATTTTGCACTTTATTTAAAAAAAGTCTATTTTCTTTGCTGTTACAGTAAATCTATCCAAATCAATGTAAAAACACAAGGGCATGCTAATTTAAAAGATGGCTAGTAATTATTAGCCTGTTTTTTATGTAATGCAGGCACATTATGGGACAGGGCAGGTCATTATCAATTATTTAAAAAAAAAAAACATTAAAACATTTGTGCAACCAAATCATGAGCTGGTGCCACCAAATAAAACAGTTTGTAGCACCAGTGCCACCAGTGGAAAAAGTTAGTGTAGAACCCTGATATACTTTTTTATTGCACATTATATTAAACTGATGCATTTGGCGATGTCTAACTTCAATTCATTGGCACAAAACGTGTGTCAGATAAAAAAAAAAAAAAGATCTGGCTTGCATGGCACAGCTGGTCACCTACATTCACCGTAGTAGGCTAAGCCTAATGTATAGGCTAGCATACGAATGGTGGATTAATAGCCCAGCCTAGGAATTAACTTCTAATTTACACTCCTTCAGGAGTAAAATATCTTCCCCTTCATTTTGTTCTTTTCCAGAGTCCTGGAGGCATCCATTCTCTGTTGCTCCAGGCGCTGATTGGTCTCCCAGTTGGCCCGGTCATCCTCAAACTGGCGTCTCTTCTCCTTCACTGTTCCCTTCTAGCGCAATTCATGCATCTCCGCTGGCATCTCCACTAGCCTCTCCCTCTTCCATCCTCTCTGTATTCCTCTTATAGCTCTTGAACCAGTAGCCTAGCCCAACGCGTGTCCCAGAAGTAGCAATATAGTTTGGTCGCTTATTTTGAGCAAGAAAAATACAAAATAATCTTTGCGATCACATTGGCTGGTGGTAAAAATGCAAGAAACGGGAATCCTCTGTTCTCCCCGCACCCAAAGTTTATAATGAAATATATAACGTCAGAATGCCCAACGTTAGAATGTTTCCAATCAAATGTATGAATTAAGTTAGAACGTTCTCCTGTCAGTCTAATTTGCATAAACATTGTGATTGGATGATAGCTATGAGTGTTATCGAATCAGGATCAAATCCTGCTCGAGCTCATTAATGAAAGAATGTTCATATTTGAAGATTGCCAAAAGGCCAGTCTCTTTGGCAAAAGGCAGGAGTGGCAAGGAGTGGAATGTAATAGCTGAACAGAAATGGCAACCAGGCTACGTTGGTGCTGGGCTAGAACAAGAATTTAAGATGACCTGGTTGGTCCAACCATAAAGTAAACAGTATTAAGAAGACCTGGTTGGTTCAACCATAAAGTAAACAGTATTAAGAAGACCTGGTTGGTTCAACCATAAAGTAAACAGTATTAAGAAGACCTGGTTGGTTCAACCATAAGGTGAACAGTATTAAGACGACCTGGTTGGTCCAACCATAAGGTGAACAGTATTAAGACGACCTGGTTGGGCCAACCATAAGGTGAACAGTATTAAGACGACCTGGTTGGTCCAACCATAAGGTGAACAGTATAAAGACGGCCTGGTTGGTCCAACCATAAGGTGAACAGTATTAAGACGGCCTGGTTGGTCCAACCATAAGGTGAACAGTATTAAGACGACCTGGTTGGTCCAACCATAAGGTGAACAGTATCATAGAGCTCACCTCCTTGCTGCATGGTGGATGGAAGCACGTTCTCCCCCGCCGAGAGAGACACAAAGAACGAGAAGGGGATGATCCACAGACAGATGGTGAAGTACGCCAGGACCTTCAGGGAGAAGAAGAGGTACCGAGGTGAGGAGAGAGGAGACATGGAGGTGAGGACAGAGGAGACATGGAGGTGAGGACAGAGGAGACATGGAGGTGAGGACAGAGGAGACATGGAGGTGAGGACAGAGGAGACATGGAGGTGAGGACAGAGGAGACATGGAGGTGAGGACAGAGGAGACATGGAGGTGAGGCGAGAGGAGACATGGAGGTGAGGCGAGAGGAGACATGGAGGTGAGGACAGAGGAGACATGGAGGTGAGGACAGAGGAGACATGGAGGTGAGGACAGAGGAGACATGGAGGTGAGGACAGAGGAGACATGGAGGTGAGGACAGAGGAGACATGGAGGTGAGGACAGAGGAGACATGGAGGTGAGGACAGAGGAGACATGGAGGTGAGGACAGAGGAGACATGGAGGTGAGGACAGAGGAGACATGGAGGTGAGGACAGAGGAGACATGGAGGTGAGGACAGAGGAGACATGGAGGTGAGGACAGAGGAGACATGGAGGTGAGGACAGAGGAGACATGGAGGTGAGGACAGAGGAGACATGGAGGTGAGGACAGAGGAGACATGGAGGTGAGGACAGAGGAGACATGGAGGTGAGGACAGAGGAGACATGGAGGTGAGGACAGAGGAATGGAGGTGAGAGAGGAGACATGGAGGTGAGGACAGAGGAGACATGGAGGTGAGGACAGAGGAGACATGGAGGTGAGGACAGAGGAGACATGGAGGTGAGGAGAGAGGAGACATGGAGGTGAGGAGAGGAGACAGATAAATTAATATGTAGCCTGCAATACTTTGCTCATAGGAGCTCAGGAGTGATTAACACAGATTAGGCTTACCTTAGAGTGTGACCTAGGCTTACCTCTGAGAAGGGGTAATACTCTGCTGCAAAGTACTGGAAGGCCATGTAGTGATTCAGCACCACCAATACTGTGAGTGAGTGAGTGAGTGAGTAGGTGAGTGAGTGAGTGAGTGAGTGAGTGAGTGAGTGAGTGAGTGAGTGAGTGAGTGAGTGAGTGAGTGAGTGAGTGAGTGAGTGAGTGAGTGAGTGAGTGAGTGAGAGAGAGAGAGAAAGAGAGACAGACAGTCCGACAGACAGACAGAGAGAGAGCAACAGGCAGAGACAGGCAGAGAGACAGAGACAGGCAGAGAGACAGAGACAGGCAGAGAGACAGAGACAGGCAGAGAGACAGAGAGAGAGAGACAGACAGAGACAGAGACAGGCAGAAAGACAGAGAGAGAGAGAGAGACAGACAGAGAGAGAGAGAGAGAGATGTTAAAACTCCTGAACATGTTGTTTCAGATCACGTGATCAGGTAAACACTCCTGTCCCAGCATATTGTACATAGACGTCTATACATAGAGAAGCTATCCCCACTACACACTGGTTCCTGTCTCTGTAGCTGCCTGTTTCTGATGCTCACCACAGGAGAGGATGAAGTTAGGTGAGCTCAGCAGTATGTAAGGGAAGGTCTGCAGGAGGCCAAAGTACACCAGGTTGGTGAAGAGACCACAGCCCATCATCAGCCATGGGAAGCCCTCAAACAGGTACAGCCCCGTCAGCACACCTGTGGAGAACTAGAGAGGATGCATGCACAGAGCAGGGGTTCGCTAGTACTTCAAAACATCTGGACTGGGAGTCAAGGTTACAGGACATAAGGGCCAGGGGTTTTCCCTGATCAGATGATCTTGAAAAACTCTGGACCTTATAGGCTATAACTAGGGTTTGGAGTTTCTCCTGGTCAGGTAGAGTTGTCAGAGAAGTCAGTTCCTTGACATTCTAAATCCAGGTACTAATAGAGGAAATGATTTGCATTGTGTTGGATTTGATATCAGTCAAGAGACACTACTCACCAGTATCATGTACTTTATTATTCGACTAGTGGCAACTGTGTATTCTTCTATTAGTTCTGCCAAATAATACAGGCCAGCAGCTGGGGGAGGAGGAGGAGAGACACACTAACAAACAACCAAAAAACAACAACAACAAACTAAATGCATTACCAGCTTGTCCATACATTTATTTATTTTATTGTCATTTAGCAGACGCTCTTATCCAGAGCGACTTACATGAGCAATTAGGGTTAAGTGCCTTGCTCAAGGGCACATCGACAGATTTTTCACCTAGTCGGCTCGGGGATTAGAACCAGCGACCTTTCGGTTACTGGCACAACGCTCTTAACCACTAAGCTACCTGCCGCCCCATAGATGGGTTGGTTGTTTAGCAACAAAACCGATGCGTGCGCAACTATAGGGTAAACCAGACAGGGTTGGCTTAGACTGTTGACAACATGAAAACTAGATTTTGTCACCAATCTTTATTGAAAACATAAATAAAATTGCACAATGAGCACTTGTTGTCTCTCAAATACATTGTTACAGTTGTTGGTTAGCTAGCTAGGGAATTTTTGCCATCAGTAAAAACACCTCAAAACAAGACATGGTGTCAAGAACAAGATAAAACTACATTAAATGAGACTCCTACGATTCCCCACATGGCAGCTTCTTGTCATGGTTGCTAGCTATCTGACCGTTCAGAATCGCAACACACGGACTTCTGCCCCATTGAACAGTGTGCATCGTTTTCGTGACATTGTCAGTTAACCCGTCTATAGACTGCACAGTAACATACCAGAGATGAGCTCAATATATGAACAAGCAAACACACACACACACACACACACACACACAAAACCCAAAATAACCCCTGAAAAACTGAAGGTAGCCTAGATAGAAGCAGACATTTACTAACATGCTTCCAGAAGAGGTCCCCTGTAGCTCAGTTGGTAGAGCATGGCGCTTGCAACGCCAGGGTTGTGGGTTCGTTTCCCACGGGGGGCCAGTATGAAAAAATGTATGCACTCACTAACTGTAAGTCGCTCTGGATAAGAGCGTCTGCTAAATGACTAGAATGTAAGAGGCTACTTGAGGCAATGGCACTAAAACAAGTCAAAATATTTAGGTCAAAGAGAAGGGGGTGACACACAGACACCCCTGGCAAGCACACAGGAGGGCACTGCATCTCGTCATGCAAGGCAAGGCACTCCCCACTCGCCCGCCCTTCTACACACAGACCAGAGTTTTCCACTAGCGCCGGCTGTCAGCTATACAGCCGGTTACACGCTCATTTTCAGCTGGGTACTTTTTCCACTTAAATTAACTAGGCTACTTTTTTAATTCGCAGGTCAGAAAAAAAAAAGTCTGCTGAGCCCTCTCCAGCTAGAATGAACGATAAGAATTTTCAAGCGATCTATTGATAGGACAGGCACCTGTCAAAAATGTATGCACTCACTAACTGTAAGTCACTCTGGATAAGAGCGTCTGCTAAATATGTCAAATGTCAAATGTAAGCTAACTGGGCAGGAAGTGTAGTTCGTCACCTGGAAGCACACAGTGTATGGATCTGTGCAAAACTGCTACAGTAAGAGTTAATTTTTTTATTTGAAAGATTATTTCTCACTGACATGAAAGATAAGAGGCATAAGAGTATGTTTAGAAAAACCGTTTAGAAAGCGATGATTATTGCCGTTTCTAAACGTTCAAACACAGCGGCGAAATTGTAGTTTATGCAGAGCCAAATGTGGCCGGATGGAATGGCTGAAAACCCTACATATGGAGATGGATTTTCGAGAGCTAAGTCTTATTGTGATTTGATTGACGAACAGCAAGCTTGACTAGTTTATAAATGGTGTCGAACTGACTGAATAAAGTCGATCTCGTATATCCTTGCCATTCATAAATCATACAACGTAGTTTATTGTCCATGGTATCGCATCGGGACAAGTAAACTAAAGATCTTGTTTGTATTTTCGATATGAAGTCTATCAGGACTTGCCAGACAGTGACTCGTCAGTAGCCTAGCGAATCGCATCAGTAAGAGAGCCTTTCATTTGGCTCCCTAATTTGCATACTTGTAGGCTTTTTGGGCGATTATCTGCAGATAAATGATGAAAACATTGGATGAAGATGATGAACCCTCCTCACTGCAGGAACAATAGGTAGACTAGTGGAGAGAGAGCCTCACTCTGGTCCAAAATATGATAAAAGAAAACATATTGAATTGTTTTAAAAGCTAATGATACTGATATGGTATTTTCAAAGATATTGATTTATTCAAAGTGTTGACAACTGCTTTCTGTGTAGCAAAGCCCATGATTAACACCTGTGTCATTCTTCAATCTGAGAAAATGCCTCTTAAAAGGAAGCTTGAAGCCTTTAATAAGAAATCTATGGGTCAGTTTTAAAAACACGTTTTTTTTATTTTTATAAATGACATACTGCAATTCACAGAGTTGCAAAAACGCATTGAAATTATTTCACTAATTTAACTGAAGTCGTTCTCTCTCGCTCTGCTCAACACGTATGGACCCAGAACTTCATTGAGTGTCTGTTCTCTTAACTTTACAGACACATTTTTCCATTTGAAAAAGTGCCCATCACACAATTCATTTGATTTTAAATTGAACCTTAAATAGTCAAAATTATCTTGAAAAAATACATTAATTTCATTTCAGTTAATAAAATACATAATTTTAACAACAAACATAATTGTGGCAATTCATATCTTGCAGTAAAATACTTTAATCTCAAGAGAAGACTAAATATAAATAAATATAAAAGGTTTAATGTTTCCTTACTTAGAAAAACACGATATTTTCAGTAATTTAGATTGTAAACACAATACCACAACGCATGTTTCCAATCTGGGAGATAAACTCAAAGTATTCAATAATTTCGCTGTGGATTTCAGATGGAATGAAGGCATTAGAATGTACCAGAGGCAACCAAAAAAATAGCATTCCATCCACATGGTCTATCTTAATTTACCGGTTATTAGTAAAGATTGCGTTATTGCTGATGACAGTTGCTAAATAGACACTGTCTATTATTAACTGTCAAATAAGATAGGCTATTGTTTTTCTCTCCTAAAATCCTATGTGACAAAAGTTGGTTCACTGACTATCACTTTGAAACTAGTGTTATCATCTAAGCTTACAGAGATGCACATTTATGTCGCACAGGAAAAATATATACAGTGGGGAGAACAAGTATTTGATACACTGCCGATTTTGCAGGTTTTCCTACTTACAAAGCATGTAAAGGTCTGTCATTTTTATCATAGGTACACTTCAACTGTGAGAGACGGAATCTAAAACAACAATCCAGAAAATCACATTGTATGATTTTTAAGTAATTAATTTGCATTTTATTGCATGACATAAGTATTTGATACATCAGAAAAGCAGAACTTAATATTTGGTACAGAAACCTTTGTTTGCAATTACAGAGATCATACGTTTCCTATAGGTCTTGACCAGGTTTGCACACACTGCAGCAGGGATTTTGGCCCACTCCTCCATACAGACCATCTCCAGATCCTTCAGGTTTCGGGGCTGTCGCTGGGCAATACGGACTTTCAGCTCCCTCCAAAGATGTTCTATTGGGTTCAGGTCTGGAGACTGGCTAGGCCACTCCAGGACCTTGAGATGCTTCTTACGGAGCCACTCCTTAGTTGCCCTGGCTGTGTGTTTCGGGTCGTTGTCATGCTGGAAGACCCAGCCACGACCCATCTTCAATGGTCTTACTGAAGGAAGGAGGTTGTTGGCCAAGATCTCGCGATACATGGCCCCATCCATCCTCCCCTCAAAGAATGATGTTTCCACCTCCATGCTTCACGGTTGGGATGGTGTTCTTGGGGTTGTACTCATCCTTCTTCTTCCTCCAAACACGGCGAGTGGAGTTTAGACCAAAAAGCTCTATTTTTGTCTCATCAGACCACATGACCTTCTCCCATTCCTCCTCTGGATCATCCAGATGGTCATTGGCAAACTTCAGACGGGCCTGGACATGCGCTGGCTTGAGCAGGGGGACCTTGCGTGCGCTGCAGGATTTTAATCCATGACGGCATAGTGTGTTACTAATGGTTTTCTTTGGGACTGTGGTCCCAGCTCGCTTCAGGTCATTGACCAGGTCCTGCCGTGTAGTTCTGGGCTGATCCCTCACCTTCCTCATGATCATTGATGCCCCACGAGGTGAGATCTTGCATGGAGCCCCAGACCGAGGGTGATTGACAGTAATCTTCAACTTCTTCCATTTTCTAATAATTGCGCCAACAGTTGTTGCCTTCTCACCAAGCTGCTTGCCTATTGTCCTGTAGCCTATCCCAGCCTTGTGCAGGTCTACAATTTTATCCCTGATGTCCTTACACAGCTCTCTGGTCTTGGCCATTGTGGAGAGGTTGGAGTCTGTTTGATTGAGTGTGTGGACAGGTGTCTTTCATACAGGTAATGAGTTCAAACAGGTGCAGTTAATACAGGTAATGAGTGGAGAACAGGAGGGCTTCTTAAAGAAAAACTAACAGGTCTGTGAGAGCCGGAATTCTTACTGGTTGGTAGGTGATCAAATACTTATGTCATGCAATAAAATGCAAATTAATTACTTAAAAATCATACAATGTGATTTTCTGGATTTTTGTTTTAGATTCCGTCTCTCACAGTTGAAGTGTACCTATGATAAAAAATTACAGACCTCTACATGCTTTGTAAGTAGGAAAACCTGCAAAATCGGCAGTGTATCAAATACTTGTTCTCCCCACTGTATATAATGTATCAAGCCATCTGCATAGCTAAGCCTACTAGCCTAGTAGACTGATTTTTTTTTAAGGGCATAAACCAGGCATCTCCCATAAATAATATGCTACTGTACAATAATCTATTTGATGGAGATAAAGGCGGCATATGCTTTTTTTATTGAGAAGATAAATCATTGACGATTCGAGCCAATACGCAATGGAATGTTGCAACCCATCCTCCACAGGTACGCCAGATCGAGCTGGCAGCAGTTAAACGTGGCCAGGTGAGATGACTTTATGAGTTTCTGAAAGTGCCAACGTGGACAGGACAGGGCAACAGTTCCGTGCTAGAAATTCCTCTCCAACTATTGATCTTCTATGAAGTTCGGTGGCTTGCGTGATATTATTGGCTATACAATAACGTTGCAGTACTTTTGTAAACAGTGGTAAAATATAGTTAGCGAGCTAGTAAGATAGATAGCTAGTTAGCTAATACAATTAGCCACTTGCACAACAACATGGGCCACTAGCACTTGTTCATTTTGCATGGCCCAGTGCCCCGGGTCGGCTGAGTTTCACATTTTAGACTATTCCATTGGTTCTTAAATTAAATATCCACCCAACCGGGGCACCGGGCCATGCAAAATGAACTGTCCCAATGACAACGTACAGGTGTTAGCTATTTCGGTAGCTAGCTAACAATAGCTAGTTAGCTTTATCACAAGTTGCAGGATGGTTGAGGCAAGACGAGATGAGTGGTTATCGTTACATAGGCAACGACTTGTTGGCTAGTTTAATGTCAAATGATTGGTTACTAACGTTGCACGTGAAAAGTATTAGTTGATTAGCTTAAACGTGAACCATAGCTAGCTAGTTACCTGATTGAGTTGGCTTCTGTTAGCTCGCTAGCAAGCTAGCTATGGGAATTTGCCACACTGTGTGCATTGCTAACTAGTTAGCTACAAGGTTAATACTATCCTAGCAAGTCAGTAGTATAAAGTTTCGTCCGCTACATTGTCGATTGTGTGTCACTTTGCTTGCAGCACTCCGAGCCGAGGCCAAAGTGACAGGTATCAATACTAGGCGGGGTGGGAAAATAAAGAAGGGAATGTGGCGATGTTAGCTAACTACTGTAGTTACAGCTGGCTAACAACTTCAACATGTACAAGTAAACTCACCAATTGCTAGTGTGACGAAAGATATTTGTATCACCAACGACAGCCAACTTAGTAAATAAATAAACCACATCTCGTTTCATGTAAAATAAAACACATATATGAAAAAACAAAAGTGACAGTAAGTGCTACGCTTTGAAATAATTTAGCTAACTGGTGGATGGTCAAAGTTCCACCCATCAAGGATCCAGTGTGCCACTGTGGGTACAGCGTCAGTTCTGTTAGGAGGAGGAACTGCAGCAACTTTTGGCCAGCTGTGCTTCCCGCAGAGAGGGACGGAGATGGATAAATTAATCAGATACATTGTTATCAGAAGTGAATGTGCTGCAATTACCTGTTGGTTTTCCATGCATGCTGTAATTTATGAAATAATAGTAGAAATATAGAAGAATAATAGGCTACTTTATTTATGTTGATTTCATCACACACACACACCTACACAAAGGGGGGTAGCAGCGTTATTTAAAAAACCAACACCTTTGAGATTGTGAGGCAAAAAATAAATAAAAAATGTATGCTGAAAGTGAAAAGAAGACCTAGTAATGGAGCTAAATTAAATAAATAAATAATGAGAGAACTGCGCACAGCAGACACTAAAATGGTGTCAGAGTCGAAGTGTGACAGTAATCCCATCCAATGCTTTTAACAAAGAGCAGGGGGGTGTGGAAGTGTGAACTCAAAATGTGTCATGCATCCAGCCTCCATTTCAGACACTTTCAGAAGCTGGCGGACCATTGAGCGCTCTTAGCTCGACAACACCTCAGCAACCCAAGTATATAAAGTTCCTCTGCTTGTGTAAGATAACTAAGGGGCTTAGTGTCCAGCAGCTCCAGCTATAAGGAGATCCAGAGTGCAGAATAAGAGAAAAGGTATTTCCACACTTTTAAAAGAAACAGTAGAAATAATTTGGTGATGGTATGTGTAGTTTTCATTCACTGGTGGAGTGCCTGTAGAAAATATTAACACCCCTTGACTTTTTCCACATTTTGTTGTCTTGTAGCCTGACTATAAAATGTATTAAATTGTTTTCAGAATTTTTTAGAAAATAATAAAAATTGAAAAGCTGAAATGTCTTGAGTCAATAAGTATTCAACTCCTTTGTTATGGCAAGCCTAAGTACTGTAAGTACAGGAGTACAAATGTACTTAAAAAGTTGCATAATAAGTTGCATGCACTCTGTGTGCAATAATAGTGGTTAACATGATTTTTGAATGACTACCTCATCTCTGTACCCCACACATACAATTATCTGTAAGGTGCCTCAGTTGACGTTTACATTTACATTTACGTCATTTAGCAGACTTACAATTTGGTGCATTCACCTTATAGCCAGTGGGATAACCACTTTACAATGTTTTTTTGTTTTTTTTGGGGGGGGTAAGGGGTGGGGTAGAAGGATTACTTTATCCTATCCCAGGTATTCCTTAAAGAGGTGGGGTTTCAAATGTCTCCGGAAGGTGGTGAGTGACTCCGCTGTCCTGGCGTCGTGAGGGAGCTTGTTCCACCATTGGGGTGTCAGAGCAGCGAACAGTTTTGACTGGGCTGAGCGGGAACTGTGCTGCCGCAGAGGTAGGGGAGCCAGCAGGCCAGAGGTGGATGAACGCAATGCCCTCGTTTGGGTGTAAGGACTGATCAGAACCTGAAGGTACAGAGGTGCCGTTCCCCTCACAGCTCCGTAGGCAAGCACCGTGGTCTTGTAGCAGATGCGAGCTTCAACTGGAAGCCAGTGGAGTGTGGGGAGGAGCGGGGTGACGTGAGAGAACTTGGGAAGGTTGAACACCAGACGGGCTGCGGCATTCTGGATGAGTTGTAGGGGTTTAATGGCACAGGCAGGGAGCCCAGCCAACAGCGAGTTGCAGTAATCCAGACGGGAGATGACAAGTGCCTGGATTAGGACCTGTGCCGCTTCCTGTGTAAGGCAGGGTCGTACTCTCCGAATGTTGTAGAGCATGAACCTACAGGATCGGGTCACCGCCTTGATGTTAGCGGAGAATTACAGGGTGTTGTCCAGGGTCACACCAAGGCTCTTCGCACTCTGGGAGGAGGACACAACGGAGTTGTCAACCGTGATGGCGAGATCATGGAACGGGCAGTCCTTCCCCGGGAGGAAGAGCAGCTCCGTCTTGCCAAGGTTCAGCTTGAGGTGATGATCTGTCATCCATACTGATATGTCTGCCAGACATGCAGAGATGCGATTCGCCACCTGGTTATCAGAAGGGGGAAAGGAGAAGATTAGTTGTGTGTCGTCTGCGTAGCAATGACAGGAGAGACCATGTGAGGATATGACAGAGCCAAGTGACTTGGTGTATAGCGAGAATAGGAGAGGGCCTAGAACTGAGCCCTGGGGGACACCAGTGGTGAGAGCACGTGGTGCGGAGACAGCTTCTTGCCACGCCACTTGGTAGGAGCGACCGGTCAGGTAGGACGCAATCCAAGAGTGAGCCGCGCCGGAGATGCCCAGCTCGGAGAGGGTGGAGAGGAGGATCTGATGGTTCACAGTATCAAAGGCAGCAGACAGGTCTAGAAGGACAAGAGCAGAGGAGAGAGAGTTAGCTTTAGCAGTGCGGAGAGCCTCCGTGACACAGAGAAGAGCAGTCTCAGTTGAATGACCAGTCTTGAAACCTGACTGGTTTGGATCAAGAAGGTCATTCTGAGAGAGATAGCAAGAGTTGGCTAAAGACGGCACGCTCAATAGTTTTGGAGAGAAAAGAAAGAAGGGATACTGGTCTGCAGTTGTTGACATCAGAGGGATAGAGTGTTGGTTTTTTGAGAAGGGGTGCAACTCTCGCTCTCTTGAAGACGGAAGGGACATAGCCAGCGGTCAAGGATGAGTTGATCAGCGAGGAGAGGTAAGGGAGAAGGTCACCGGAGATGGTCTGGAGAAGAGAGGAGGGGATAGGGTCAAGCGGGCAGGTTGTTGGGCGGCCGGCCGTCACAAGTCGCAAGATTTTATCTGGAGAGAGAGGGGAGAAAGAAATCAAAGCATAGGGTAGGGCAGTGTGAGCAGGACCAGCAGTGTCATTTGACTTAACAAACGAGGATCGGATGTCGTCAACCTTCTTTTCAAAATGGTTGATGAAGTCATCCACAGAGAGGGAGGAGGGAGGGGGGAGGGGGGGGGGGGGGGATTCAGCAGGGAGGAGAAGGTGGCAAAGAGCTTCCTAGGGTTAGATGCAGATGCTTGGAATTTAGAGTGGTAGAAAGTGGCCTTAGCAGCAGAAACAGATGAAGAAAATGTAGAGAGGAGGGAGTGAAAAGATGCCAGGTCCGCAGGGAGTCTAGTTTTCCTCCATTTCCGCTCGGCTGCCCGGAGCCCTGTTCTGTGAGCTCGCAATGAGTCATCAAGCCACGGAGCTGGAGGGGAGGACCGAGCCGGCCGGGAGGATAGGGGACATAGAGAGTCAAAGGATGCAGAAAGGGAGGAGAGGGTTGAGGAGGCAGAATCAGGAGGGAGAAGGATTGAGCAGAGGGAAGAGATGATAGGATGGAAGAGGAGAGAGTAGCGGGATAGAGAGAGCGAAGGTTGCGACGGCACATTACCATCTGAGTAGGGGCAGAGTGAGTAGTGTTGGAGGAGAGCGAGAGAGAAAAGGATACAAAGTAGTGGTCGGAGACATGGAGGGGAGTTGCAGTGAGATTAGTAGAAGAACAGCATCTAGTAAAGATGAGGTCAAGCGTATTGCCTGCCTTGTGAGTAGGGGGGGACGGTGAGAGGGTGAGGTCAAAAGAGGAGAGGAGTGGAAAGAAGGAGGCAGAGAGAAATGAGTCAAAGGTAGACGTAGGGAGGTTGATTTCCCCCAGAACTGTGAGGGGTGAGTCATCCTCAGGAAAGGAACTTATCAAGGCGTCAAGCTCATTGATGAACTCTCCAAGGGAACCTGGAGGGTGATAAATGACAAGGATGTTAAGCTTAAATGGGCTAGTGACTGTGACAGCATGGAATTCAAATGAGGAGATAGACAGATGGGTCAGGGGAAAAATAGAGAATGTCCACTTGGGAGAGATGAGGATTCCTGTGCCACCACCCCGCTGACCAGATGCTCTCGGGGTATGCGAGAACACATGGTCAGACGAGGAGAGAGCAGTAGGAGTAGCAGTGTTTTCAGTGGTAATCCATGTTTCCGTCAGCGCCAAGAAGTCGAGGGACTGGAGGGTAGCATAGGCTGAGATGAACTCTGCCTTGTTGGCAGCAGAACGGCAGTTCCAGAGGCTGCCTGAGACCACGCGGTGTGAGGCATTTGTATAGCCTGTGCGGAGAGGAGAGAAGTGAATTTCAAGCACAGATTCAACCACAAAGACCAAGGAGATTTTCGAATGCCTCGCAAAGAACGGCACCTATTGGTAGATGGGTGAACATTTTTAAAAAGCAGACACTGAACATCCCTTTTTAGCATAGTGAAGTTATCAATTACGCTTTGGATGGTGTATCAATACACCTAGTCACTACTAAGATACAGGTGTCCTTCCTAACTCAGTTGCCGGAGAGGAAGGAAACCGCTCAGGGACTTCACCATGAGGCCAATGGGGATTTTAGAACAGTTACAGAGATTGATGACTACCTCACTAAAGTAATACTGCAAAACGAGGCAAAGAAATTACATTTTTGTCCTGAATGCAAAGTGTTACAGTGGATTGCGAAAGTATTCACTCCCCTTGGCATTTTTCCTATTTTGGTGCCTTACAACCTGTAAATTAAATGGGTTTTTATTTGGATTTCATGTAATGGACATACACAAAATAGTCCAAATTGGTGAAGTGAAATGCAAAAAATAAATGGTTTCAAAAAATGCAAAAAAATAAATAACGGAAAAGTGGTGTGTGCATATGTATTCACCCCCTTTGCTATGAAGCCCCTAAATAAGATCTGGTGCAACCAATTACCTTCAGAAGTCACATAATTAGTTAAATAAAGTCCACCTGTGTGCAATCTAAGTGTCACATGATCTGTCACATGATCTCAGTATATATACACCTCTTCTGAAAGGTCCCAGAGTCTGCAACACCACTAAGCAAGGGGCACCACCAAGCAAGCGGCACGATGAAGACCAAGGAGCTCTCCAAACAGGTCAGGGACAAAGTTGTGGAGAAGTTCAGATCAGGGTTGGATAATAAACAAATATCAGAAACTTTGAACATCCCACGGAGCACCATTAAATCCATTATTAAAAAATTGAAAGAA